AGAGTCTTCATTCCAATTAAGAAAAGATACTTGCCATCATCTATTAATGATTCACTTAACCTAGCCTCCCTTGTGCATGTTTTTCTCCATGGTAGAATGCCCTTTGTTTGTTTTCTCCAGCCTCTTAATCTCTCCGATTAGCGTTGTTTCTTTTGTCTGAGCATTTATTGTTAAAAGAAAATATGAATGCTTGATATATTAAGAGCTTATTTTCATGGAAAAAAGTCTTCACATCTTACTGTTGTCAATCTTTATAAATGTAGAAATAGAACTTCCATAGTTCACAATTCCTCTTGTGCATGTATGCTTGTGCTGGATAGCTTTAGTGTCAACTTGACACAACTGGGTTGAAGGAGCCTTAATTGGGGAATTGTCTTCATTGGACTGGCCTGTGGCCATGTCCATGGGGCATCTTCTTGATGAGCAATGAAGGAGGGTCCAGCCCATTGTGGATGGTGCCCACCCCTGGGCAGGTGGGCCTGTGTTGCATAAGAAAGCAGGCTGAGCAGGGGCCAGGGGAGCAAGCCAGTAAGCTGCATTCCTCCATGGCCTGTGTGCCAGCTCCTGACTCCAGGTTCCTGCCCTGAGTTCTTACCTTGGCCTCCCAGATGAACTGTGACGCAGGATATGTAAGTTAAATAAGCCTTTTCCTTCCCAAGTTGGTAGTGGTCAGAGTGTTTTGTCACAGCAATGAAGAAACAAACTAGGACAATGTTTTATTTTGCACATAATTAACTATTTAGCAGAGGTTGGAGGAGGCATAGAAACATGAAATGTTTTGAATCAAGTGCCAAGTATGAATCAATCAAAAATCAAATAAAATGCTCTTTAAAATTATAGTGTTAGTAAACATAAGAATAACAATAAACAGATTGCTTTCAATTTTTCAAGATACTGTGGTACAAAGTATTTATGGAGATGGAATCAAAGGACTAATTAGGCTGTGTAACAGGGATTGATATGGTTTAAAACTATTAAATTTAGCAATATCTTATAAAGACTAGAAGTAACACCACAGATTAAAGAATATTAAGTATAATAAATAGTCATTATTCTGGAGTGTTTGCTCCTTACATAAGAAAGGTTTCTGTGGTAATTCTTAATATTTCCCATTAGCAGTCTACTCTAATTCTCAGATTAAGCATGAATTCAATGATCAACAAAAATCTCATGACTGTAATCATTACCATAAAGGTGAACACATATAACACAATGTACCTGGTTAATGAGAGCTACAAAGAAAGAGCTATATCACTACTTACCACGTGGATGACAAGGCCATGGCACAGCCACAAAAATGTGAATGCACAGAGAATGACAGGAGGGAAGGTTGGGAGCAGGAGGAGAAGATAGGCAGGGTGGGAAAAGTGATGTGGTTTAATTTCCCAAAGAGGCACTCTAAACTCTGCTAAATATCAACATCACAGTCCCACTTCCTTAACAGTAATTACACTTCCAGGGATGGGGGATAGCTCATTCAGTAAAGTACCACACAAGCATGCAAACATGACTTCAGCTGCATGTTGAGAACCCACAAAAAAGCCAGGAGTGGTGGCAAGCGCTTATATTCCTAGTGCTTAAAATGCAGGAGGACCCTGAAGCTCAGTGGCTAGTCAATGTAGTTTATTGGCAATCTCTGGGTCGGTGAGAAATCCTGTCTTAAAAACTACAAAGTGAATGAAGGTTCTGAAAAATGATGCTCAAGGTTGTCTGGCCTCTGGCTTCAACAGGTATGTACACACATACATGCATACACATTCTCTCTCTCTCTCTCTCTCTCTCTCTCTCTCTCTCTCTCTCTCTCTCAAAGAAAGAAAATACACTTCCCAGAGCTGCTTGCCCTAAAACATCACCAATATCCACAGACTGGATGGAACACCAAGGCTAAAAAAATGAACACAGAAGAGGCGATGTCCTTCATAGCTATTGACGCCGACAGAGGAGACAGGGTTGCTTCGCAAACTCTTTGATTTGTCTACATATGAAATCCATCCATACTAACTTTTAGAGACAAATGTATTTCCTACTGCTTCAGATTTCAGGGAGCTTAAATATCATTTTTCTATTTGTGGTTTAACAACCTTTCCTCTTCTGCAGTCAAAACTAGGGAACGTAATGCCAGCAGTATCGTATGTGTTCTCATCACAAAAATGAAAAGAAACAGAAATGGAAAAGAAGAGCTCAGACACGTGGAGTGAGCTGCGCATTCATTAGCTCGGTTAGGGTGGTATTTCTTGTCATATGTGTATTAAAACATCAGATGGTATGGGTTAACTACATACAACTCGTGTCTAGTGTATCTTAATAAAAATGAGAAAAAAGAAAAACTTAGTTTCCTGTGAGTGCTCCTGCAAAGGCCCAGAGAAAATTTACATTTACAAATATGTATAATCTAATTATGAAATGTATGACAGTTAATATATAATCAGTAAATTTTCATTTTCTTTATCACTTTAACACAATTTTGTAGGATCTAATCTACAAAGATCATATTCTTCTAAGTTAGTGTATAGGATTAATTTGTTGATTCTGGCATGGAAATATGAAATAGAAAAGGCTCAGTGTTTAGAAAACTGCTTTGACATGATTTGTCCTGTACTGTCTCTCCATACGTATAGAAAGTTGTATCGTAGCCAAGTTCTTTGTGGGGATAAGGGTAAGGCAGAGAAGAAGAAGGGAAAGCAGAGGGAGCCAAACGCAAAGGAAAACAGATTCAGATACATCAAGAAGTCCCAACGTGGAGGATCAAAGAAGGGGCTGTGTCTCAGTCTTCTTTGTATCTTTATTACCAGGTTGCAGAACACTTGAAATCACTCAGAGCTAACTCAAAACGTGCTGAATAAATAAACCACTGAATGGGACCTCCCAAATAGGAACTTGTAGTGGAATCACTGAACTTTATACCTTCACAATGCTGAATTCTGCACTAGGTATATCTTAACAACTAGACTCTCCTTTTGTTAATTATTTTGTTATTTTTATTTTATGTGTGAGAGTAATGCCAGCATGTATGTAAGTGCACCTATGTTGTGCAATGCCCATGGAGGTCAGAAAAAGGCATTGGAATCCCTGGAACTGGAGGTACTAATGGCTATTTAGCCACCATGTGGGTGTTGGAAAATGACCAGGCTCCTCTGCAAGAGCAGCCAGTGCTCATAATCACTGAGTCATCTCCCTAGCACTAGATTCTCTTTTATAGAGATTAATTTTAATTTCTTATGGAAGTTAACTATGATACCTTGAAGGAGAGAAGGAGCAGGTTGTTTCCTGTCCATTTCTGTCTGGGAGCTGTCAACAGTGAGTGGAAATTCAAAAGTAATGGACTAAGGGTTTGGGGAGGGAGCTCAGTCGGTAAAGTGCTTTGATTGGAAGCATTAGACCTGAGTTCAATCCCTATTACCTACATAGAAAGCCAGGCATAGTGAAATGTGTTTGCAATCCCAGTGCTGGGGAGGTGGACACAGGATGATCCCTGTGACACCTGGGACACCCAGCCTAGCCCCACCAGTGAGCGCCAAGTCCCAGGGAGACACAGGCTCCGAAAGCAAGGTGGAAGCCTCCTGAAGAATGTTGACCAGGACACACACACACACACACGAGAGAGATTAGAGTTGTAACAGGTGTGAGAGAGAGAGAGAGAGAAAGAAAGAGGGAGAGAGAGAGAAAGACAGAAAAACAGACAGAGACAGAGATACAGAGACTGAGAGACAGAGTCATATGTATGTATGTATGTATACATTACATGCACATAATGTATATATACATATAGAGAGAGGGGGGAGAGAGAGAGAGAGAAATAGATTTTGGCATGCAAGGTAGGTCTATTAGATGCTTTATAACTTCATCATAACTTGCCAGTATTTTTAAGCACCAACTAACTATATTTATATTGAGGGATCATTAAAGATTCAAATCTCACAGAGATCTTTTCAAATACATCTCTGATCTTCTCCTTCCCATTCCCTACCAGCTATTAAAATCCTCAACCATCAGTTCAGGTCTTGGATTCCCATTTCATCTCCAGTTACGTTCCAGCAGGTTCCTAGCAGTTTTAACCTGTATATTGTTACTGTTGAGTACAGGCCCAGCTTCCTAGAAGCTACTCCAGAAATTATTGTTGAATTAGTTACTCTACAAAGAATTAGATTTGGGGTAAATCAATGCAATTTAAAAGTAACTAGTGTAACATCATCTCTATATTCAGCCATATCTATTTATTAATATTAAAGTTTCAAAGCCATTTGACAGAATGAGAGCTTAGGCATGTTAAAAAGCAACAAATTTAAAACAATAAATAAAAGGTCCTAACATATGGGAAGAAAAGTGGAACTTTGAGAGACCTAAATGACAATGGGTGAGGAAAATACATTTTTAAATAAACATGAGGGGCTGGAGAGATAGCTCAGTGATTAAGAACACTGGTTGTTCTTGCAGAAGACCCAGGTATGAATCCCAGCACCCACATGGCAGCTAACAACTCTCCGTAACTCCAGTTCCAGGGGATCCAACAGCCTCTTCTATCCTCTGCTGGCATTGCACCACACGAGTGCACTTACCTACATGCAGGCAATATACATATACACATAAAAAATAAAATAATAAATAATAAATAAAATATTTTAAAAATAAATAAACATGAAAAGAAACAAGATATTTCTACTCATAAACTACCTAGACATAATAATTAAGCCATGCATTAATGTAAAACCACAATAGATAAAAATATTGTCTAATCTTAATATTTCCAAGTTCCCAGGTAGAAGGCATAATGTAACAACTGTAATCAAGGTAAGCATTTGAGAAACTATATTAAAATATAGTTTAAGTTGCAAGGTAGAATCTAGTGCTCAGTAAAATAATTTTAAGATACATGTTAAGATTGTACAAATTGGAATTTTAGGAAGTAATATGAATCATCCCTAATTCTACACAAAATATGTAAAATGTCTTTATACTGAAACATTTTAAAAATAGATTGCAAGAAAAAGAATTCTGCATACCTGTAGGAGAGTTGTTCTGTGTAACTTCATCGCCCCCTTCTGGTGCATTTTGGAAAAGCACCCTGAGCAATAATCTTCACCACATTCCAGGCATACCTTTAAAGATAGACATACACTTAATGATACAACCCAATGATGGCTCTCAGAAAAGGTTTGCACAAAGATGTCATTGCGCTAACATTTATTCCTCAAACTACATATATGGACACAGTGAAAATTGAGAAGGTACCAAATCACTAAGGTCTAAGTTTGAAATCTAACTCACAAACACTATTTACTCTCATATCAAAATAGCTGTTGAGTGTACATTTTATATGCATATATGGATGAAGCATTTCTTAATAATCACAAAACAATCATTAGTCTCAGTTCAATCTTGTTGATCTGGTGAAAATCAAACAGCATTATCTCTTAATGAAAACTCTCATTATTTTTATGAAGTCTTTTATTTTTATGTCTATTATTTTTATGAAGTCTTGGTGCATAAACTGACCTGATACAATTAGTTGAAAACAACATATACTATCCCCTCCAAAGATTTCTACATACTTCTATGAAATGTACTGTGTTGTTGGTGATACTTAAAATATATTTTCAAAAGTATTCTCAGTAGAGTCCCCAAAGGAAAGAAAATACACGGCTATGAGCTGAAGTCCCATCACTGTGTTAGCCATGTTCTTGGTTACTGACATGATTATATGCAAGTTTATGCCTGTCTTACAGCTTCTCTGTGAGGTAAGTGGCACACACCTTTAATCCCAGCACTTGGAGGCAGAGGCAGGCAGATCTTTGTGAGTTCAAGGCCAGCCTGGTCTACATAGTAAGTTCTAGGACAGCTGGAGCTACAGGGAGACCCTGTCTCAAAAAGACAAAAAAAAATATTTTTTTACTTTGTGAAGTTTGGTATGTAATATATCTATACCTATGATGCCAGATGACACAGAAAGTAGTGAGAAAATGAAATAAAAGTTGCACAGCAAATAGATTTGTTACTATGCTGTTGTGACATTGATGAAACACCTTCACAGTATAAGTTGAAGGGAGAAAAAAAAACCAAGACCCCTCATGTGCTGCAGTTTGGTTCAGATTGAGAAGAATGACCGGAAGCACAGAAAGGAAAGTGTGATGAGCAGAGGGGCAGAGAAGGTATCAGAAGGCCTGCGTCAAGGCTTTTAGCCCTGGCCTGCTTGATTTCCTGTGTGAGAGGCCACCACAGTTCCCCCACCTTGCTTTTCTGCATGTTAGGAAACAATGAGGATACAGCTGGGGGGCTAGGATGATCACACAAGATATTGTTGCAATAAAATGTTGAAGTTCATAGCACTGGCAGGGGACTGTGAAGCCCATCTTCTGAGCAGCTCCCAGTGATGCACCAGTCACTTTTAATGAAATAACAATGGCAATATCCTCAATGTTTAATTAATTCAAACTATTCACTGTTTGGGGTCTATATATGCTCAATAGTACTTAGTCCTCATCACAACTCTAGAAGCTTAAAACAGTGATTGCAACACCATTCGGAAGACAAGGTTACATTGGGACATCACACGTGAGGATCCAATCAGTCACAGCTGATGGAGAGCCAGAACATCATATTTGGATGCTCTCTCTCGTGTGTGCCTTCCCCTACTACACCTCACCCAAATTAATATGCTCTATTATACATATTAAGGTCTACAGAGTTTAATTTGTGTCCCCAAATGCCCTTAGGTGTGGGTCGATCCACTGGAACCTGCTCAGCTTACCAAGAGTTTCAACCTTAAAAGAATATCAGTTGCTTCTCAGGTAGAGTCAGGGTTTCTTACCCACTTCCCCAAGTCTATGATGGGATTTTGTCTGGCTGGAGCTTGTGTGGTTCTTGTGCATGCTGTCACCATTGCTGTGAGTTCATATGAATAACTCACCAGCTGTTTGAAAACTGTTTCCTTGTGGTCATCCACCCCCAGTCCCGGCTCTTACAATATTTCTGCCCCCTCTTCTGCAAGGATCCCCAAGCCTGGGGAGGCAGAAGTTAGATATAGGTGTCCTATCCGCTGATAAAGGCTATGTAGCCTCATGTTCTCTACACATTGGCCAGTTGTGGGTTTCTGTGTCACACATTTTATCAAAATCGTACACATTTTTCCCAAATATGATCAAACTAGACAAAACTGGAATTTTTATTTAAGTAGGAGAAAAAACATTTTCTGAAGACCATAGGCAACAGTTTTAAACTTCTTTTTTGATCTCAACAGCTAGAATTTTTCATAGAAGACATGATAAACCATACTTAGCTTTATAATTTTAAGTGCAAATTAAATTTTAAAGATATAGGTTCTCTTAAATATGTGGTAGAATTATTACATTAATGTAGATTTCAAATATATTCCATATAATTTTAGCATACCTATTAATATTTCAATGAATTTCTCATGAATGTTTGGCAGTTTC